GTCGCACGTGATGAGACAGGAGCTCTACGGGTTGTGGCACCCTTGCATGTCGAGAGGGTATCGGTCCCGCTTTGGTTGTTCCAGTGCCCAGACGTCCCCGCCCACGACAACCAACGCATCGCCAACGGACGACCCACCAGAATCGTCAACATTCTTCCTCTATATTCGGATATTCGGATAAATCTGCCAGGTCGCCAGGTATCTCCCCGACGAAGAAGGCCGCGGAGGGAGCATGGTTCACATCATTAACGGAGAAATTGTGCAAGATAATGATCCGAGGGTGTTAAATCGCAAGGCTAAGACTGGTCCGCCTCCATCAGCCAACAGTACTAGTCGCCAAGGCGGCTTCCATCAGTCGTCAACTCCGGCCGCGACCCCACAACCTGGAACAAACAACCCGGACGGCAATCCTCTCTCTCAACTCGCGACAGCGATCGGATGTGAAGGAACGGTCGTCATCCCTGCGTTTCCAGCTATGAACTTGCGAAGCGTGGTGGTGGAGAAGATCTACTTTGTCGTGCTGGCCGTACTAATCTACATGTTTGGCGCCCGCGCACTCGTCCTTGCTGTGGCCTATTACTTCTACCTCACTCAACAAGAAGTACCAGCCACACCTCGTCCGTAATAAAGTACCCGACACACATAATCATTGATCCATTTGCATTGTTGAACCGGTAATTTCCTCTGCAGCAGCGCCACACTTCGTCGTCATGTTCCACGATGGCTGGCAGTTGAATTCCGTGCCTCGCGAGCACAAACTTCAGTCTTGCCGTCCCATTGCACAACGCGACATCACATGCGCTGCCGAAATCGAACGAGATCAACTTGCAAAAGTGCGTGGAATTGCACAGCGGCGACTTTGGACTTGCCCGAGTGCTAACCACCGACTGTTCAACGGCGCTCCCATGACCCATGACGCGGTCTCATTCCAAGCATGCGATAGAACCATCGGAACCTATTCAGCCTTCACCCAGTCTATGTCGTTGAGTGACCGACGCCACTTCCACAGCTACTGGAGTGCGCAGTGGCCAGTGCATCATCGCGATGAAAGCGACGTCTCAGCACCAACAATGGTAATTTCATCTTGGATTGTATTTTTGTGGGGAGTTTTGGCTGTGCGGCAGCCACCGTTTAATATCACATCTAATGGGGGTCCTAACGCGTCATTTTCTAGCAACTATTGTCTATCACAAACTGATTTTTCTGGGGTCGGTCGTGGGGGTTAAATATTTTTTTGTCGTGGTGGTGGTCATAAATACGAGATCAACAGACCTCTTTTCACACGCAGCGAGGCCGCTTCTCGCTGGTGGCGTAGGGGGGCGTGCACGGCGAGTACGGAGGCGAGCACGGAGAGAATGGAGGAGACGCCATGTCATACTCTTCCATCGATCGCTTCCGGGATATGTGGATCACACCGTCAAACTCGTCGTCAAACAGGGTACGGTCCGCAGGGGGAGTGGTGACATCACTTTCAAAGTCCGTGTCGACGCCGTCGTCCAACGTCGATGGCTTCTTCGGGGCCATAATCGCATCGGGCATCGGGTCCAGGTCACGGTAGGGATGAAACATGTTGAGCAACTTGACGATGGATGGACTCAACGTGGCTTCGTTGATAGACACGTACACCTCCAGGATCATAGTCGCGGAGTCGATCAAACTATTTTGGTTGTCGCTCAACACGTACTCCCAGTTCTCACCGTCCTTGGTTCGAATTGTGCATGGAATTGTGTCGTCAATTGTTCCTGCCAAGTAGGCAGCGCCGGCAGCAATCTCTTCGGCGGTCAATCGCAAGCACAGTGGCGTCCTGGAGCAGTCGTTGAGAAAGCTCCACGAGTTCTTCATCATTGTGTTGGTCAAGGCTTCTTTCTCCGCGACAGACAAGTGGGTGTGAAGGTCCACGAGACTGTCAATCTTGTCGCTCAACAGCAAATGGGGAAACTCGACGTCCAAATCGAAGGCCAAAGTGTGGAGCACAATGTATTCCTTCTGCAAAATGGCTTCGGCAATCATCTCGACTGTGTGATACCGCAGCGCAAATTCCATCGTGACTTCCTTGCGTTGGGCGATGTAGTGCTCGGCAAAGTTGTGTACGGACAATGGGTGATCTTCGGCCTTGGCACTCAAAAAAAGACACGTCGCGGCTACCAAGTACTTGTCGTGGTCGGTAAAGGACTCGCGAATAAAGAACCGGTGGAACAATTGCTTGCCCGTCGCAATGGCTTGACGAGGGACGCGAAATATTTTCGCCAAGCTCTCGTAAAAGATGATGCCATTCTTGCGTAGTTCCAATTCCTGGTCCCACGAGATGCCTTTCTTCGAGGACGGCGAGGCTTTCAGCTCAGTGTCCGTGAACACCCAATCGTTCGTGCACGAAAACGTGTACGACATGCTAAATCGGGTCTAAGGTGGCGGAACACAATCAGCCTCATGTGCCGTGAGGTACGCCACACTAACCTTTTGTGATTTCCAGACAGGGGCTTTGTTCAGAAACAATTGCTCCAGAGTCTAAGACACACAACGATTCCGGTGAATAACCGAGTTCGTTTGTTGTCGTCACCACCACAGGTCGACCCCTTCACCACTCTCGTCGAATGAACGGAGCGGTGATGAGAGAACGCCGTGTTTGCGTTCTCTATCCATCCAAATCACTCACCCAGTTCGACCTCGAATTCGTGTCGGCAACGATCGAGCGCGCTTTTTCAAAGCAGGCAACGGTCCAGAGACGAGACGACGACGAGATGCAGAGCAGAACAGTCGACGGTGGTCTGGGTGAAGGCGGTGGGGGGCGATTCGATGGGCGGGTTGTACAAGTAAGGAAGTCGAAGAAGTCACAGCGGCGGCGGTCCTCGATGATGGAGCGGCGACGCGGCGGCTGCTTCGGGCTTCTTCTTACAGGGGAGCTGAGCAACTGACACCACCAAACGAAAGAAAACGGCTCCCAGCCACTCAGTATACATTCACCAAGTTATTTCTCCCTTGCCTGCGAGATTCTATTTTTGTGGTGAGCCTCCATCGTGTATTTCCACCAATCATATTGTACTTTTTTTCATATTTTAGCCAATCAGAAGACATAATCCATGTTCTTCTGGCGTGCGTAGGCGTTGCTGCGCATACTGAAACCAAGAGAATTGTAGCAGCGAGAACCTGGCGTTTTTACCTCCCATTCACTTGAACTTTGTATCGGACAGATCCCCTCTCCCGTCGGAGAACGTTGTATTCACTCTTTGTATGGACACATTGTAAAATCCTACGTTTGAAATTCCGTTGTTGACATGCACATTTTTCTCTCTCGGCGGAATTTTCGCACGGACATGCAACAAGACGAAGAAAGTATGTATATACTGAGGATGGGACATGTTATGCGTCGGTCAACGGCAGTGCGGCATACGTGAGCAGGGTGATCAATTGCTCTTCAACTACGACTTCATGACGAAATCGAGGCAGGTTCGCCCAGCTCGAGCAGCTCCAGTCGAACTACTGCACGAAACAACATTCTGTAGGAATGTGTGCGATTCACCTGCACACAAGTTTCCACCAATCGGTGAGCTTGTTCGTCAGCGCGAGAGGCATGTTGGGAATGCCGCCAGCGCTGTCGGAAGACCTTGTCACGCTGCGCATCGCAGGAAAGGCTTACGACATCACGTCGGCCGTCACGTCTGCGCGTCGAATGTCTGAGATGTTGCCGTCCCACGCGAGGTCGTTGATCGAATTGGCAACATCGTCCACCAAGTCATTGGAGATGTCGTCCAAGTGTCTGTGGCAAGCGGCCGAGAAGGCAAATGCTGGGTTCATGGTCGAATTCTTCGCGACGGCAGACGACCAAATTACGGTACAGACGTGCATCGAGTACAAGGGCCGCAACCAGGAAACGCCGTTCCTCGTGGCATGTCGGCTGGGTCACGTACAATGCGTCACAATCTTAATGCACTATGGTGCAAACGTACACGCAGTTGATCGGCATGGAAACACAGGTAAGGACGCGATTCGGCCAAGAACTTGGCTAACTAATGCTAGGTCTGCACCACGCTTGCCGGCAAGGCCACGTTGCACTCGTCCAGCTCCTCGTGGGTCATGTTCCCGTCTGGCTTCAGAACTCTAGTCGTTTGTCCGCGCTGGACTTGTGCCGACAGCAACTGCGCCTTCGTCGGCGCAACGTTCACATGGCCCGGTGTTTAGAGTGCCTGGAAAATGTACGCTCCCGTCGATCTACTAGACAAGATCAATCCCTTTCGTTAGCGAGTCAAACTGTTTGAAGGATGGATCGAGTTGAGCGAAGCCACGGTTGGGTCCATGCTCACTGGGCTAAGGGTGCTGCAAGCATGGAATTTGCGGTACAAGCCTCGTCGCTAAGTATGGCCACCACACTTGTCGTGTTGTTGTCACATAGGTATGTCGTCGTGTACGACGTCGGCTCGAACTCGCACGTGGATGTAGCTGTCTACTCGATTGCGCACGAACTACGCCCGCTCATTCCAACGTAAGCCGCACGTCATGACTCGACTGCACTCGTTCTGACTGCTTTGTCATGTCGCGCAGCACGGTGTATGTGGTCCCAATCCTCCAGGAGATGCTCCTGAACGAAGAGCCCAAACTGCTTCAACCTCGGCCCTGTACCTTTGCATTGCACGGCGCGCCGAGACGAAAAGACATGTTCGTTGGCGCCACGCAAAAGATCGAGTTTGCCGCGGCGAATCCACAGGACTGGGGTCGGTGGGCCACCTTTTTCAGTGTAACGCTAGTACGTCCGATTTGGATTGCATGGAGGTTGTGTCTGCTAATGGGAGACGTGCATCCTTCAGAAAGATCTCAAGGGAGACGTCAGCGCACTGACGGCCGCCTCCGATAATGCGCGTCATCACAGCCAACACGCATCCATCCCTGATCGTCCCCCGACTCCACCATGCGGCACACCGCTCCTTCGGCCATGGGGCTTGGATAATACGGTGGAAACTTAGAGGGTATAATTTAATCGTTTCAAAGCATTTTCTACCATGTCTCTTCATGGTGGGGCTCGTGGCTTGTCAAGCGCGAGGAATAAGAACTGTACTGCATTGCCGTGTGGAGGCAATGGGGCAAGCACAGTGGCCACAGGATTCGCACGCAGAGGAGTGGCCGCTTGTTGACCCCGCGCCAGCTTCCCTTTATGGAATGCGCGTTAAGTTTGGTCGACGTGGCTATATCGTGTTGATGCTATGTATCATGCATCCGTGCACAAAAGCTAACAGTTTGCATTGCGATTACAGGTTGGCAGGTTTGGTCCAAGGCATCTCGTTGTCTCAGGCGATCGACGTGAGATCGGACGACACCGCCGGCACCGCGTTGCGGAGAGTTTGCCACATGGCCTGGGTGGACACGATGGGGTTGGCTTTGCCAGAGTAGTCGAGTGCGTCGACGTGCCACATCCCGACCCCTCGGAGGTTCAAGTGTGTGGCAAGGTTGTACTTGAGTGCGAGGCTCCGATCGTTGTCGTACCAAACTTGCGCCGTCGTTTGGTTGGTCCGAAGCGAGATGAACGGTGAGCTACTCATGACATCCCATCCAAGTTTTGCGGTAGGGTCCACGAGAAGCGCTTGCACTTGGCTGTAGTCGATTTGATGTCCCGCCGCGTCGCTACACGGCGCACCTCGAAATGGGACCTATGCATCCACCGCATGCAAAATGATGAACCACTTTGAAAGGAGGCACTGAATAGAATCGTACAGGGCGGATGTGACAGATGGAGTTGTCCATGGATTCGCAGGGGTAGTTGTATGCATACCACGGCAGCCCGAGCACGAGTTGACGAGGAGAAATGCCATATCCTGCAATGTACTCCTCCACGCCTCGCCGGACTAGAGCAAGCGGGCTGTTGGCCCCAGCAATGCACTGGTAGTAGATTTGACTGCGGATGTCGTACTGCAATGACAGAGATCAACCATGACCTTCAATCTGGGCAATCAACTTACTGACATGACAAAGAGAAAGTCTGCATGCGCTGCGAGCCCCACCCAGTCGTAGTATCGCTGGTCGACACCGTGGGGAGACCATGGCACGTCAAATGATATCTGGAGCGAGCTGTTGCTTTGTGCACACCAAAGGCAAAGGGCTGATGGATGTGGCGTACCTGGGCGTTATGCGTGAATTTGGACGCTGCAAGGCGTACTCGTAGCTCCTGCACGAGTAAGGTTTGGCACTTGGCGGTAGAGCCGCTCATCTCAACCTCTGTGTCGATGTTAACACCGTCGGCATAGTTTTCGACGATGCTAGTGTACGTTGCTTCGATCCAGTCGGCGCGCGCTGCCGGATCGCACAGTCGATCGGCTTGGTCGAAGTTGTGCTGGATGACGATCTTGACCTGACGAGCATGTGCGTAGCAAAGCAAATCTTTGTCCAAGTTCCATGCAATCGTCGTGAGGGTGTCAAAGTCGTAGTACCGCCAGTTGGTCGAGTTGATGGAAGGCGAAAACGCAAACACTTCAAAGCGTGGTGTGCGTGCCACAGGAAGACACAGCGATTTATCGGAGCATGGACAGCCTGACAACGCTGTAGTTTCCTTTTCATTCCAGCCCAGGCTAGAAGCGACGGTTGCATGGGCTGCTAGACCAACCCATCGGTGGAAAGATTGCCACCCCATCGTCAGAGAACACAATTGCCCGATGAAGTTCCTTATCCAGTATATCTCGAGCTAGTAG